TCGTGGCTCCATTCCCCTGTCACAGGGGTGTCAAACTTGCAGCCTGCAGACCAGACCCAGATTGTGTAGCACTATGTTGTATGGCACACAGGGCTCGTCGAGCAGCTGGTATTTTGGGCATGGAGCCTGCTGTCAAAACGTGGGGCACGGTGCCCTGTTGATGACATGTAAGTGGCAGGGGGTAAGTGGTGGCTGCATTAACTGTTGCGGCCACTGCTCACCCTGCTGCCATGTCCAGATCGAGCCCAGGGGCAGGGTGAGTTTGACATCCCTTCCCTAACATGTTAATGCAATTCCTCTGTGGAGGCAAAGCGAGAGATTTCCTGATTCAAATTGAATCTGCTGTGATAAGGTGTCCCTTCAACATTTTGTAAGGCTTTCTTGTTGCAGTGACAGTTGGGCTAGCACAGAATACTGATAGGTTCAAGGATGGTTTGTAAGCAGGCTTAATGGTTCATGCCCTAAAACTGTTATTAATTTGATTGTATTTTTGCTTATGACAGGAGGAGGCCTCTCCATATTCTTTACTTGACATTTGCTTAAATTTCCTGACTGCCAACCTTGAGAAGTTCTGTACAGAAAGACAAGATGGAACGTTATGCCTGCAGGAGCCTGGAATATTTCCTCAAGAAGTGGCTGATCGACTACTGCAGACTATGGCATTTAATGGTAAAGCAATGATTTGGGGGCCAGCACTGGTAGCAGCTCTGATGCCAGGACCCTGCTGTGTGTGTTAGCAGAGTGAGGCCACTGGAACCATTTGAACTGTATTTTTTTAACTTCCAAATAAAAGAGGGATTTCAGCTCTTCTCATTTTGTCACAACTTCTGCTTGCTACTTCACAGACAGGAAGCTGCCCTCAGAGCAGGACCGAGTCCTTTGTCCCATAATAATGACTTTAGTTTAGTGTTTCTTTAAATTGGACTTCAGTAATTTGTCCTTTGGCGTCTTATTTCTCTTAGTTTATCATATTAATTTCATCCCATTGTTGGTGATGCTTGGATACTTAATCATTAATGTCAGCAGCATCTTTCCCAGAGTAATAAACTGAATTCTGTCAGCCTTACTTTGTGTCTCCATATTTCTGTAAAGTAAAATATTAAACCATCTTGTTATTTGTGTGAAAGTAACTCCCTCGTTCCTTGGTGTTTTGCCCAAGTAGCAGCGTGAGTAAAATGTAGTTCCTTGCTGGAAAAAAAAAAAATCCAACCTAGGGAATATGTTATAAAAACCTGTCAAAACCATCTTGTTACATTTAAAGTGCAGTCAGTCAGCATAATATTTTGAGAGGGGCTTTCACCTTGTTTTGAATTTGCACTGGGTAGAATGAGGGAAAAACTTAGACTATAATGTCAAGAAAAACAGCTTGAATTTGAGAACTCTGAATGTATAAGGTAGCCTCCCAGGGAAGTAGAGGAAGCTGTAGCTCATATAGAGATTTATAGAAACTAGAAAACTTTAATTTACAGACCAAACTGCACTATTTATGGGATAGATTTGGCCTAATAGGTCACTCCCATCTCTATTCTGAATTAAAATTTAAAATCAAGAAGTGAGTGCGAGTGTGAGTGCAGGCTGGAGGAGAAATACTAAGTTCTTAATTTTGTCCCATTGTTACTGGATAGTAATAAAGCAGAGAGACCTGTTTGACATTAACACTATAAGCTCTCGGTAGCCAGGACTTAGCAGGTGAATGGAGAAGACGGGCAGGGTCAGAATGAACAGGGAGCTTGAGACAACTTCAGAGCGAACATTTCAGCCAAAATGAGAAGTTGCAAAGTTGTTTCTTAACCAAAATATTCTTCATCTTTCTTCCTTTTTAGCCTCTAATCAGACCATTGTTTTCCCCTTTTTGTCTTGTTAAACAAGCTTCTATCTTCTTAAAAAATCTGTAAACCTTGGGCCACGTCCAGATGAGTGTGGCTGTGCGGTATGTGATGCTGCAGACACATCTGTGGCACGCCACACTGCACATTCAGCCGTTCTCTGCACTGTAAGGTAGCAGTATTTGTGGGAGATCCTGGGGTCAAAAAATGTGGAATGGTGCACACGGGGGCAGCATGCATTGCCCAAAACTGGAGACTGGCCTGCTGGAGCCACGCTCCAGCTGCAGTCTAGGCTACGAGCGCTGCTGCTGCAGCCCCAAGACCGTGGGTAAGGCTTCTGAGGCCAGTCCAGTACTGGCCCCAGCCTCCCCTACCCCACCTGGGGTAGCCTGCACAGGTGTTCCCAGGGAAACAAATACCCACGCTCATGTGGATGCAGCCTTGGTGTCTCTTTCCCCATTGCAGAAGGATTTGGTAGTTGATGACTGAAAACTACAAATGATGATTTCATAGATGGATGGAATTTTTTGAAAATCCAGATACCCTATGGTGCTGGCAAGGTGTTCATTTCACTATTCAATACCACAAGTTTTTGTAGCTCCCTTTTTCCTTCTCTGGATGTTTGTGGATTGTGAATTCTGAGAGGTGGTTTGAGCGTTAATCTCTGTGGTGGCTACAGTGGCATGGAGAGGTCATGTCTCTGAAGGACTTTCTGTAAAGCAGCAATCAGCTGCTGGAATTACAAAGATAAGAGATCTCAAAACACCTTCCAATATGTCAGTGTGTTTCAGGTGACATCCCTGGAAGTAAACTTGATAAGTCAGTTCCCTGCAATAGCTTGGTGAGATGAGGATTGTTACTCCCTGCTCTGTGATACGGTGTCTGCATATACTAGCCAACGTTGGATGTTTCTCTTTTTCTGACTGCCATATTCTATGACACGTTTGCTACACTCCCTCTCATCACCCTCCACTACCTGAACTGCAGGCCTCTATAATGCTTTCTTGGTTTATTTCTCATGTTTGATCTCTCCCTGCATGTAGAAAATGGCTTCATTAGTTTTGTTTAGTGTATTAATCCAACGTAATGTTCAATTAGAATTCTAACGTGATTCTTAAAACTAGTTAATGCAAGGTATAAAGTAGTTCTGAATCTCTGATATCTAACTCCAGACTTGCGTTTTAGCAAATAGAATTATCCAAAACACAGGAAAGTCAGCAAAAAGTGTTTTAAAAAAAGAAGGTATTTTGCCAACTTTAATTTTTGTCCAATTTTCAGTTGGGTCCAGTCATAAATGAGCACAGTTAGTGTTAGGTTCTGTGAAGTGCAGAGTTTAGTCTAATCTTATTTCAAGTCCAGACTTTCAAGTTGAACTTTCTGGACTTGCACTGTGTCTAAGTGGTTCTGTATGCATTGTATTATAACTCCACTGTGGGTGTGTCTGCATGAGATACTTAATATGCAGTAGCCTAGTAACACTGCACAGTAGCATATTAACATGGTTTTTGCTTGGCACGCTACTGCGCAGAAAGCGTCACAAAAACCTCATGTACTGTCACTACTGTGCAGTAACTGTAGTTACTGTGCATTTTGTTAGTACTTCATTAAGTGAGTACTAAACTAAATGCGCAGTAACTGCTGCACACTAATGAATGTGTAGATGTACCTTGTCTGAACTGATTAATTAAACATTGGTTTGTAGCCCTCCCTTCCCCTCAAATAATCTCTGTTTGACCATGAATTTGTTGCTGTCTTTCAACAGGGCTGCTAAACGATGGGACTGTTGGGATTTTTCGAGGCAACCAGATGCGCTTGAAACGAGCTTGTATCCGCAAAGCAAAAATCTCAGCGGTGGCTTTCCGGAAAGCATTCTGCCATCACAAGCTAGTAGAACTTGATGCCACGGGGGTAAATGCAGACATTACAATTACAGATATCATCAGAGGACTTGGCAGCAATAAATGGATCCAGCAAAACCTTCAATGCCTTGTCTTGAACTCATTAACTCTGTCCTTGGAAGACCCATATGAAAGGTGCTTCAGTCAGTTGTCTGGGCTTCGTGCTTTGAGCATTACCAATGTTCTCTTCTACAATGAAGACTTAGCAGATGTTGCTTCACTCCCAAGGTTAGAAAGTCTAGATATATCCAATACCTCTGTCACGGACATAACTGCACTCCTCACCTGCAAAGATCGACTGAAATCTTTGACTATGCACCATCTGAAATGCTTGAAAATGACAACTACGCAAATTTTGGATGTCATAAGAGAACTGAAGTATCTGAATCACCTTGATATTTCAGATGATAAACAGTTCACATCAGATATAGCACTCCGTTTACTAGAACAAAAAGATATCTTGCCTAACCTTGTGTCTTTGGACATTTCTGGAAGAAAGCATGTTACGGACAAAGCCGTAGAAGCATTTATTCAACAGCGGCCAACAATGCAGTTTGTGGGATTGCTAGCCACTGATGCTGGCTACTCTGAATTTCTTACAGGAGAAGGACACTTAAAGGTTTGATATATATTTTAATTCTACATATTGCTAAATAACTGGATTAGAACTGATTAATAACAGTTTGTAACAAGTGTGTATGTCAGTATGAATTTATGGATTTGCTTCCAACAGTAATATTTTTCATTTGTAAGTGGCGTTTGCTAATAGTTATGTATGAGAGCCTTAATTCAGCTCCTTCTGTGCCAGAGGTTGGGGTTTCATCTAGTGTGAAGAGCTAGGTGGTTTGTAAATAGGCTTCGTGAGTGAGTGAGTTTTATGCACTAAGTGAAAAAAAGAGCGTACAGAGCCGAGGAAAGCAGACTGGGGAGGAAACATCTTATAATGTGACGAGGGCTGCTTTTGTCTAGGTGCATTCATTTATCCTTTCAAAACAGGTGAATTCTTCAGTAACACAAAAAGATTGTTTTGTTCCCCATCACTTAAACTGCAAACATTCACTGAAGCAACCAAAAGACTGCTGTACTTAAACCTACCAGCCTGTGTGTAGAGGCTGGTAGAGATGATGGAGAAGGTAGAGATTTTCCCTGTGTTAATCTGATATTGTTTTATTAAATCTTGAGTTAAGTGATGCACAAAATCTAGCCTTTTGTTAATGAAAGGCAACTAACATCATTTGCTGTGTCTTTTGTTGTTGTGGCTGCACATCACTGGCCACGAACCAGGTAATTTTCTGATTGCCATTTGACAGGCAGTGCTCTCAATAACCCAACTCCTGAATAACCGGATGCATCAGTTGGACACGTGCACGTGAACACTGATATGACAACTTACAGAAAGCCAATTCCCTGGACCTGCTTGGTGTGTAGCATCAGGAAGCAAATCCTTAACTGTGGTTAAGAAATAATGTAGTATTGTTTTTGCTGTTTGGCATATCCAAGCCCTAACGTCTCTTTAAAGGGTTACAAAGATTCGCATCCTACAAGAGTTGCTCTTATCAGAGTATCAGTGTTATATAGCGCACAGCAAAAAGCATTTAGCTATCACTTGAAAGGCTAAATTAAGGCTGGAATTATTTTCTTTTGTGAAATTATTTGTGTGTTTTAATTGTTTGTTCATTGGTGTGAGCAGCTGGCTCTTGTCCAGATACACTTTATTCTTTAATGGTATCACACTTGTAAATGTAGAGAGATAAGAACTTTTCTGTAATAATCCAGAAAAAGTTCCCTGTAGGAAGACCTTGGGAGGATAAATTGAATATCCTGGGTCAGTGGAGGCCAGCCTTTTTGGCAAGTATACCACAAATTAGCCCTGCACCCTCCATGAGTGTCACTTTGATCCCTTCCCCTGCCCCATCCGCTTCTGCTCTTCGTGCTCCCTTTCCAAGCTGACACCATATTGCTTGTCCCCTCCCTGATCTGCTGTGCCACGTGTGGCATGTCTCCCATGGACTGGCCGCCCACCCTAGGTGTTATGGCTTGTAAGTTAGAATTACCAGCAGCTGCTTAGTTTCCTTGTGTCCGGTAATGTAAGGTAGCTGTTTACTTGCAAGTTCGTTGCTTAATATTTATCAACACTGTACTTTACCAAAAGCAAAGTATGACAGTGTTAGTTTTAAACACACTAGTTGGAAAGATGATTTCCTGCTCTCTTAGTAAAACCTGAGAGGTTCGTTTGGCCTAGGAATACAGGATGCAGAATGCTTGGTAGATCGTGGACTTATTTGTTATAAGTTATTTTTATATGACTGTGTCAAAGTCTCTAAGTGTCTTGGCAAGAAGTTGGTTGTATGTGCTGTGAGCAAACTTCTTAATTTGCTTCCACCTGTTTGGACTAGAAAAACCCAGCAGTGTGACATTGCACCAAATGTAGTTAATGACGGTTGATTTTCAGAGAGGCAGTTAAAGTAGAATTAGCCCACCATATCTCCATCCTAATAAAGACAATTTAAAACCAATGCCAGTAGCAGTAGTAGCTTTAAATCATTTATATGCTGACCAGTGTATATATGTGTATGTGGCCTATTCATGTCTTATGTGTGGATACTAAAGGGAGTGAAATGGAGCAAAAATACCAGGAGTGAAAATGTAATTAGGGCTCCCCTCCAAAAGAATTTAGGTCTTGTCTCCATTTTAGAAAAAGGTATGTTCTTAACTAATTCAGCTTAAATAACTTAAGGAAAATTGGAGTGAAAATAAGGCAGCTGTTCTTTTCATACGAAGTAGCCATGCATGTGTAGTGTGAAAATGAATTCAAGGCCTCTACTTTAAGGAGGTGTGCTCGTAAATGAAAATGAGTGAGTAAGAGCTAAGTCGCCCCTCGGTGACAGAATACTGGCAGCCTATCACACGCGAGTGAGTGGATTTACCTGCAGTGAATGAAGAAAAGAGGCTGTTTCTCAGGTGAGACTGGAATAAAATGCCAACTACACTACACAGAAAAAAAAGTTAGACACTGCTGAAGTCAGCATGCTGGATATTTCTGAGGAATAATGCAACCAATCATTTTGCTTATCAGATGACAAAATGACATAATCGACTTCTGTTGGCTTTGAAGTGACCCCCCTGCTTTGTATACTGGGGAATTCTGGCTTGAAGACTGGATTGAGTCTGGACAGACTGGTTTGGTATATGCCCTGTGAATGCTGTTGTCTCTTTTCCTTTGGGGGTTGTTTCCAATGTGTGTAGTTCTTGTTTGATATAGGCAGATCATGTACCATGTAGATGAAATGGTAAAATCTTGGGAATTGGCAAAAAAAAAATATATATATATTTTTAAGGCTACCAACTCTGAAAAAATCACTTTGTACAACTTAAAAAAAATGTTAACTCTGAAATGAAGCAGTGATTACTTCAAAACTTTTGTTTTTAGGTGTCTGGGGAAGCAAACGAAACTCAGATTTCAGAAGCGCTGAAGCGGTACAGCGAGCGGGCGTTCTTTGTGAGGGAAGCGCTTTTCCATCTATTCAGTCTGACGCATGTGATGGAAAAAACAAAGCCTGAAATTTTAAAGGTAAAACAATTCACTTGTAAACTGGCAGGCTGGGGTGCCAGTAGATTATTGGTAGCCTCAGCTGCCTAGCAGCAAGCCAGTCCTAGGTTTCTTTTCCACTCTGGACTTTCTATCCTCTTCTGCTCTTGAAGGGGGACTGTTTCTACTTGGGCATGTGCAGCAGGCTAGGGTTTTGGATCTGCCTAGAGTATGGTGCAGTGCACACAGCATCCTGTCTGAGAGACTGCTGGAGCCAGTGCAAAAAGACTCTGAAAAATGTAAGATGATAGCTGAAGGAGGGGGGTGCTCTCTGGAGACTGAGAAGGTTGCTGAGCTGAGCAAGAGGCAGGGAGAAGTTAGTCATATCTTTACTTTTTCCCACTGGGCCCAGGCTTGCTCTTGCATGTGTAGTATATGATACAAATATATCTTCTTTTTTTTTTTTGTATTTCAGCTTGTAGTCATTGGAATGAGAAATCACCCTCTGAACTTGCCAGTACAGTTAGCAGCAAGCGCATGTGTGTTTAACTTAACAAAGCAAGATTTAGCAGCAGGCATGCCTGTCCGATTACTGGCTGACGTCACTCATTTACTCCTCAAGGCCATGGAGCACTTTCCCAACCACCAGCAGGTAAAATACTTGGTTTCTTTTCTTCACTGGGTTTCTCATTGTATCTAGTGGGAGGGCCTAATACTAGAAATGGCACCTGGGCACTGTAATATGTCTCTGCTTTGAGAATACTTGAATATTGTGCAATACTGTATGCAAGCTAGCAAAATGGGAAACTTTGTCCTGTAAAAATCATTAGGCATCTAAGAACAAGCATTGTAGATAATCTAAAAACATGAGCTTGGGCTTTGCCCCTTCTCCACTACCTCTGTGTTGTTCAAACCTATTCTGCCAATTATTTTGGGTATTTCTTTACCCAAATTGATTTCTAAGGTCTTTCAAAGCTTTTTACACCGGAGTACTAGCACTGAGTTAGTTGTGTCTATACTTTGGATTTAAGAGATCACAAGTAATGATTTTGTTAATTGTGTTAGGCTATCTAGCTTGGATTTTTCTGTTTGGGATCTAGTTTAAAACTTTCCATGTTTTCTTTGAAAACTGCTTCTCCTATTTCAGATGAGCACCAATTCAAAAATTTAAGAGGAAGAAATGTTTAGACGTATGGTTATAATATAGTCACCTCTCTCTTCCTCTAGCCACATCTAGTCTTTTATTATATTTATTTGAAGCGTGATTATGAACAGTCGTATCACTTGATACCTTCAATAGAAAACCGTTGTATTTGGTAACCAGGTTGTAGCTGTATGTTGGTCTAGAGGCAAAAGGAATCAGAACTCATGGTAGAAGTGATTGTATTTTATTAGACCAACTGGATTTTTGCAAAAAATATTCCTTATTTGCAAGCTTTCGGGCACAAGCACCCTTCTTCAGGCATAGGAGAAAAGATGGTAAAAGTTCTCCTGGGCAGAAATGAAAGTTCATATTTCATAGGAGAGTTGAAGGTGTCATGAAATCTCCTGTTTGGAACAGTTCATTTTATGCAGAAATTTGCAAAAATCTAGTTGGTGTAATAAAAGATATCACCTCTACCATGAGTTCTGATTCCTTTTGTATTTGGTAAAGAAGTCAAGCACAACCTAATCGGTGTATATTGCATTCTAGAGTAAAGAGAAATTTTATCCTTACTGTGAAGGCTTACATTTCTCGAAAAGGATTAAGTTTTTGCAGTTTCACATTTTTCTTGTTTAGAAGTGTAACTACATACAGTAGAGTACATGATCCTAATAGGAAAAATATTTAATGATTTACCAAACTTGTTACAATTCCCCCTTAAGACAAGGTTCTTTGGGTGAATCTGATATCTTTTATTAGACCAACTTAAATAGCTGGAGAACAATTTTTAAGCAAGCTTTTGGGTTCAAAAACCCTTCGTCAGGCTAAGGAAGCACTCTTAGAAGCTTGTGTCTCAATTGAACTTATTTTGTCTCATGCAGTTGCAAAAGAATTGCCTTCTTTCACTGTGCAGTGACAGGATCCTTCAAGATGTTCCATTTAACAGGTAAGTTTTATTCTGTTAATCAGTTGTAGCACTCAAGATCTCTTATTCGCATTTTATTGTTTAGTTTTGAAATATGCAATATGCTGTTCTGGTCTTGGGGTCCAAGTTCTATATTGCCATTCAGGAGTCTAGAATTTGATTTATGGGGTTAAAGTCTGATTTCTGGTACAGTGCTATAAACCTGAGCTAATTCCCCTGATCTACCTGTTCACAAGGATTTGAAGGCTAATAACTCACAATTATTAATTGTAGATCTAAAGACATTTTTTTTTTTTAGAAAGGGCTGTTGATATCAGTTAAATTACTTCATCTTTAAACAGAAATCAGACTTTAACCCACATGAGTTGGAGGAGGAGAGGGGCCAGTGCCCATTTGCAGCAATTTCTTTATTTAGAAACCTTGCTGGAAGACTTCGGAAGATGCTGCATCCTACATGCCAACACAGGAGGGCTGGGAAAATGCAGGTGTCTGTGGCCAGATTCTCTGGTGCTTTACAAAAGAGTGTCTTGTGCTTTGTGTTAAACCAGCACAAGATGTAGTGAGAGATGCTAGGGGAGCAGATACTGAAGCCTGAGTAATATGCTGAGCCTCATTGAAGATCTTAATTCCTGTAGCAGACTGCTGGATCGTGAGCTTTTGTTCTTGCTTTCAGTAGGCAGACCTCTTGGTACCTTTTCCTTGATTTTCTTTAACTTGCAATGATAGCAGCCTTTTCCCAATAGTCTCTCTGCAAAATTTCACTTACTGCATGGGTCTGAGATAAGCTTTGTTTTCTTTTTATTTTACTGTTGTAGTCAACCTGCTTGAGGCAAAGCACGCTGCTTCCAGTTTTCCATTGCGTGGGAGCTTTTTGCTGTCATGTTACATATAGCTCCTTTTTAAAGGCTTGTATAGTTTTCATTCTGAAAATAAATGCTGTTTATTTTCAGGTTTGAAGCAGCAAAGCTTGTCATGCAATGGCTGTGTAACCATGAAGATCAGAATATGCAGAGGATGGCAGTGGCTATAATCTCCATTCTAGCTGCAAAGGTACAAGACTTGAATCTGGAAGTGTTGAAATTATGATTTCCCAGGGCCTGATTTTTGTTTTGAATTTTCACTTTGTTTTGTTTGATTGCAGCTTTCAACTGAGCAAACAGCTCAACTTGGTGCAGAACTTTTTATTGTTAGGGTAAGTCAAATAATCTCTTGCATACTTCTTTGGATCTCCTTGTTTCACTGTTTCAAATTTGCTACTATTGACTGTATTCTAATAAAAGAAAAATTAGTATCTTACGTCTTAATTCCCCAGCAATACTGTTTCTAGAAGAAACTGGAAAGATTGGTATTCCATGCTCAGGAAGCTGCTCAAATACTATGGTAATGAATGTAAAATATAGGCCCAGATAAAATAGGAGCTAAAAGGAATGACTTGATGGTGTTAGGGCTTAGCTGACTGCAGGATAGAAGGAAACCTCTTGACTCTTAGTTTTCCATTCTAAACTGTATCTGTGAAAAGAAGCTCCCAAGATCATATTTTATCTTGAAATTTTCTTTCTGCCGTATTTGGAACTTAACCTCTTCTCATAATGATACCGCTAATCAAAGAGTCAAGATCTTTTGGTTTCTAATAGCTTAAATGCAGCTCAAATGTGGTGCAGAATGCCACTATGGTGTCAACCAGCTGCAGCAGTGCATGTTACACTAAGCATGTAAAATTGTAATACCTTTCTCTAAATTATAAGAGTATCAGAAGTCATCATCCATGGGACCTGATTTCAGAACCAGTCTGATGGCTTGAACTTCAGGACAAGGGAAATACGTATTTCAGAAAGGGCTCACTCAATTTCTGGAGAGAGAATATGCTGCTAAATACATCTCAAGACCAGCCAGTACACCAAACAGACATCTCCTTAATATCCATTCAGGACTTTATCATGCTTGGGTGAAAGCTGTTATAAGCCTTTATTTTTCTACAGAATAAATGAGGTGTCTTAGTAGAGTTCATTGCAGAACTCAGTACTTAGCACGCTCATTCCAGCTTATTTCAGGCATGGCACTTAAACTAGTGGCAGTAGGTCATTGCACACCTAAGGTGCATCTACACATGCCGCTACGGTGCCGTTGTTATTGCACCGTCATTCAGTACTTCCAGGGCGTACTAAATAACAGCACAGTAACAGCCATTACTGCACCGTGCTGGCAGTGCACAGTTATTTTTAGCCACTACATTGCTGTGGCAAAGCGCTATGCAGGGGAGCTTGTTGCTACAGCACTGTAGCTGCGGCGTCACAGTTTGCCAGTGCTACTTCACCGTAGCACATTGCTGTGGTGACATAGCATCTTGTGTAGATGTGCCCCTACAACCTTAAATTTATGTTTTTGATGTTCCTTCCTCTGACCTTAATATAATACTTACCTTAAGATCTGGGGTAGAAAATTTAGAATAAATTGCCACCCTTGGCAACAATAAGATGGAAATAATACAGTAGGTGGAAGAGTTCGTCTGGTACTCATGAGGTATTAGGGGGCTGGACTCGATCTTCCAAGGTCCCTTCCAACCCTAATATCTAACGTCTATGAATTATGAGGTGGCTTGTAGTAACTTTGAGACCTGAAATATGCCCAGTTATACAGAGGAATCCACCTAGTAGGGAAGTGTCAGTGTTTAGGAAGATAATTATAATTAAAATGTATGGAAAAGCTGATACGGTTAGTCTTAATATATACATTGCTATTTTAATCAGAGATGTCCTTGTTCATTGCCCAGGTCTGTGCATAAGCAAACAAGCTGATAAGGGTGTAGAACTTTACAGTTTGCAAAGGTAACTGCCATTTGCTTTTCCTCTCTTCAGCAACTTTTACAAATAGTAAAGCAGAAAACAAATCAGAACCTTGTGGATACCACACTCAAATTTACACTGAGCGCACTTTGGAATCTCACTGATGAATCTCCAACCACATGTCGACACTTTATTGAAAATCAAGGGCTAGAACTCTTCATGAGAGTCCTGGAGGTGAGGACCATGTTTTTTGTGGCAGATTTGCCGCATAGGTTTATAACCAACAAATGCATCAAATGCAGTTTCAGTATTGATCCTATTTAAAGCCTCTGTGTTGTGTTTCTTTTTACAGTCTTTTCCATCAGAGTCCTCTATCCAACAGAAAGTTCTTGGCCTTCTGGTAAGATGAACATAAACTCTAAATTTCACAAATACTAGTTCCTGTTATTTACTGACATTCCACATTCAGTTTTTATTTAGGAATTTCTTTAGATGCCACACTGTTCATTATACCTCACTTAAACTTTAATTTTTTATTCCGTTTTCTTATGGGCCAGGTATTTTATGTTGTTTTAGATTTATATTGCCATTTTTCCAAAAGCACCAGTTCATTTAGGACTGTCCATTGACTAGATTACTTTGAAAAATGTAGAGCACAAATCTACAGATGAATACAAGTGCCAAAAGAAGGTCAAAAGTCAGTGCACTTGTACTCCTACCATCAGTCTGGATAAACTTTTCAAAGCACTTAAACTTGGAAACTTCAAAAAACAGCTGTGTAATATGTCTTAACTAGCCAATTGCCTGTCAGCAATGATGGGGGCGGGCAGGCGGGGATGGCCCCATCCACCAGAGCAGGAGGGCAAGGCTGTGGCACCAGCACCCCATGCCACCACCTCCAAGGAGCCGGGGGAGAGGGAGGGAGGCCAGTCATACTGGCCTTGCCCCCTGCTCCATCCCCTGCGTCCCTGCTGTTCCCCTCTACCTCCAAGGAGCAGGACTGGGGGGGGGGGGCAGGCAAGGCCAGCATTGTGTGTCTGTCTGTGCAGAGCACTCTGGTTGTTTCAGTCAGCATTGTGCTTGGCTGCTGAAACAACCAATCAGTGTGACTTAAGCATTATGGACAGATAGCCAGACAAACTAAGGCTTTTATTATATTAGAATATTGTATTAGAACGGTCATGGAAGGAAATGTTTTGAGAACCTCTGCCTCTTAGGCAAATGCCTACAATAAAGGCAAAAGTGTAGTTCAGTTCCTAGCTTTTATTGCAGTTGAAAATATCCCAAAATGTCCATGTGTGATTCAGTTCAGTCTAGACATCCATCTGATTCAGGAACTAGAGTCTTGTCACTTACTTTTGAACTTTCTTTTCTTGCAGAACAACATAGCAGAAGTGAAGGAGCTCCATTCTGAACTAATGTGGAAGGACTTCATAGATCACATCAGCAAACTATTGCACAGTGTGGAGGTGGAAGTCAGTTATTTTGCAGCTGGGATTATTGCTCACTTGATATCTAGAGGAGAGCAGGCTTGGACATTGAGTCGCAGCCAAAGGACATCTCTTCTTGAGCAGCTGGTACAGAAATGTCCCTTCGTTTGCCCTGCACATTGTAAGCTTATCTATATTCAGTATTGAGTGTTTCAGCTCTTGGTTCTGTGTCTTGCAGCATTCAGCTATTTTGAACTGGCCAACCCCAGAATGTGAGATGGTGGCATACAGGTAACTATTGCCTTGATTTCAATTTTGAAGTACAGGTTTCTCTTGCTTTATTCTGTACGTGTGTTCCTGGAAAACAGTGCGTAACTAGAACTTGCATAAAGGGAACCCACTTTACAATGTAACAAATAGGAATCAGTTCAAAGACCTTGACTGTACTGACCCCCAGACCCATTTCTACCACTTTTACAGGACAATTTTGGTACTCGCCAACAAGAGAGAGGGCAGGGTGTAGGTTGGTGGTGAATGCTACCATAATGGCGATGGCAACTACAGAAACACGTGTAGCAGACAGTGAGCAAGGAGCACAGATCCACACAGGAGACTGTATTTTGGCGCCCATCACTCCCACAGCGCACTGCACAAAGCAACTGACAGCGGGTTTCCACCACACCAATTGCATAAGAATGAATTTACCTCACACATAATGAATTTTTGGTATAAAAAGGGTCATTGCATAAGAGGAAATTCACACGTACGGAACCCGCATAAAGTGAGGGAAACCAGTACGTGACAATTAGTTGAAAAAATTCACTTGGTGTCTGGAACAGTGCAGACTGTTGGCTAACATTTTTCCTGTGGATAAAAACATACCTCTTGATTTTAAAGCCATGAATATTGTTCCCTTGCCTTTAAGATTGAAGGGGAAGGTTAGAGCCAGCCTAGGTCTCCTTTTGTAGCTCAGTATTGTATTTTCTTAAAAATGGCAGGACTGAGGCAGCCACCCTGGCTGCCAAATGTGTGTGTGGGGTGGGGGAAAGCAGCTGCAATTCGAGCTGCATGATTGTGCTGGTGGCAGCACCCGGAAGTCGCTGCTGCCCCTGTGTATGGCAGCTGCCCTTGTAACTCAGCTATGTGGTTAAGCCTTTGATTCCTAGCAAGGCTTTCAGATGAATGTTCAAAGGCCCATGTGAAGAAGCTAACTGGGCAGGTAGGTTTTTAGGTACATTAATTTTCGCTAGGATTGTATGTCTCTGATTTAGAGACTTCCAAGCCAAAGGAGAGGAAGGGGGAAATATTAGGTCATCTATTCTGACTTACTTTGTAATGGGTCATACAACTACATCCATTTTACTTTCCCTGATAAGTAATAAGGGACACCCAAAAACTATCATAGTCCACACACTACTTGTGAGTAAGTTATTGTTAGCAGTAAGAACCAAAGCCAACTCCTCCATCTAAGATCCAACATATTCCAGCTCTCCCTTGCCTAAACCCTTAGTGAAAATAGAGTATGATCTTTGAAGTACCAGTAGTCAGCATTGAAATGAACTGCTGAGTATCTCTTTTGGTTTGTTTCTTTTCCTGTAGGTCCTTCAATCCTTTTTTCCCTCTGCTTGGCTGTTTCATGACACCGGGGGTTCAGTTATGGGCAGTATGGGCCATGCAGCACGTTTGCAGCAAGAACCGTACGTACCAAGATAAAACAATGCTTTGAGCTCCTATTTCAATATCCAGTCTGCCAGGATGACTAAAAAGCAGACAGTGCTGATGGTATTCATCCTTAACTCCAATGCAGAGATCATGCCAGTTTTTAAAGTGTTACAGTTAAGGCAGGAGAGAAGCAATATTATGGTCAGAACAGGAGTTTTGGGGTAGTCCTGATTTTAGCCCCTTTACAATTAATCACTGTGACGCGAGGTGAGTTTCTTCATCTGTTTTCTCCATCTATAATAGGACAATACCATCTGTGTTTGTAAGATGCTTTGTGATCTTCTGCAGAAAGGGGCTATATGTGAAAAGGATCAGTCCCCTTTAGAACACCTAAAGGTAACATGACTGAACCCTCTATGCTTTTTAATGCTTATTATGGCTTAATTTTTTTAGTACAGTGTAATTTAGGTAAACTCTGCTGCAGTACATTCAGCAGCTGTCCTTTAAAGGTTAGGGATTACTTAAAGAAGTTAGATGCTTTAAAGTTGGCAGATTCAGATGGGATATACCCTAAGGAAGTGGAGGAATTGGCTGAAGTAATTTTAGAGCCATTGGGTATTCTTTGAGAACTTGCAGAGGTCAGTTGAGGTCCTGACTGATTGGAAAAGGGCAAATATAGTCACCATCTTTAAGGAAGGGAAAAAGAAAGAACTGCAGACCAGTCAGTCTGACCTTGATAACTGGAAAAATTATGGAAAAGATCCTCAAGAAATCTGTGTAGCACCTTGAGGGAAATGATAAGGAACAGCCAGCATGGAGTAACTGAGAGCAAGTTATGCCTGACCAAGTCGATGTCCTTCTATGATAGTGACAAGTTCTGTGGATGGGGGCGAGTAGTTGATATGATATACCTTGACTTTTAGCAAGGCTTTTGACACAGTCCTTTATGGTATTCTGATTAACAAGCTAAGGAAATAGAGACTGGACAAAAGTACTAGCAGGTTGATACATAGCTGATTGAGTTGTCAATGGTCCAATGCCTAGCTGGGAGAAGGTATCAAGGAGGGTTCCCCATGGGGGTCTGTCCTGGGGTTGTTATTGTTTAACACGTTCATTAATGGATTTGGATGATGGAATTGAGTGCATGCTCAACAAATCTGGGGAAGACACTAAGTTGGGTGGAGTTGTACTCTGGAGGGCAGGGCTAAGATCCAGAATGACCTGGATAGACTGGAGAAATAGACAATAATCAACCAGATAAGATTAAGCAAGGACAAGTGCAAAGGCCTGCACCTGGGACAGAATATTTGCACATGTGCATACAGGGAATGACTGGCTAGGCTCCCGCATTGCAGAGAAGGACCTGGGGGTTACTGTAGACCCTAAGCTGAATATGAGCCAACAGCGTGCTCTTGTTGCGCAAAAGAAGAAAAAGCCAACAGCATACTAGGTTGTATTAAGAGGAGTGTCACTTGGAAGTCAAGGGAAGTGACTCTTCCACTCTTTGGCGCTGATGAAGCCTCACCTGGAGTATTGTGTGTCCAGTTTTGGGGCCCGTACTTCAAGAAAGTTGTGGACAGATTGAAGAGAGTCCAGCAGAGTGTGACAAATATGATTAGGGGCCTTGGAAACAAGACCTATGAGGAAAGGCTGAAAGAACTAGGGTTATTTAGTTTGGAGAAGAGAAGACTTTGGGATGGGGGTTTTCATAATCTTCAAATACTTGTAGGGCTGTTATAGAGAGGATGGAGATGGACTATTCTCTGTAGCTGTAGGGGATAGGACTAGGAGCAATGGCCTCAAACTGCAGCAGAGGAAATTTAGCTTGGAGATTAGGAGGAACTTTTTTAATCCTGCTGGGAGTAAAACTGGAGGTTCCTGGTTAGCGGACCTTGCCCCTCTGCTCAGGGTCAGTCTGATTGTCATATTTGGGGTAAGGAAGGAATTTTACCCGATGGTCAGATTGGTGTGGGCTGTGGGGGGTTTTGCCCTCCTCTGTAGCAGGGGGTGTTGCCCTTTACCTGGGACCTCTTGAGCATATGTTGACCACATTTTATAGAAACAGGACATTGGCTGCCATAGTTTCTCTGCCTTACTTCGGGTAGGTTCAGGTTTTAGGTCTGTTGTGTCAGAATTCATGGTAATCTTATGTAGAGTTTAGATGATCATTTGTATGGGATAGTTTGGATAGGAATGATCCTACCGTAGGTAGGGGGTTGGACTAGATGACCTCTAGAGGTCCTTTCCAGCTCTACTTCTCTATGACTATAACTGAGGGTACTGAAGAATTGGAACAGGCTACCTAGAGAATCTGTGCAGTCTTCATTCCTGGAAATTTTCAAGCACGGGTTAGGCAGGCAGGCACTGGGATAGTTTAGTTGGGGACTTTAGCAGGGGGTTGGACTAGATGATCATGTAAGATCTGTTAGCCCTTATTTCCTATGATCAAAAGTAGTTTAAGTGGTGACACAATCCCACTGATAGGCAGTACTTTGTACCTGCATGTAGTAGATCCTCTGCCCTTTATTCCTTTCAAATAAGAATAGTGCTAGTTTCCTTTTAATTTAAAGTATTTGTTTTGCTGTTCAGCTGTTGGCACGCCACAGATGGGGTTCAGACTGAGTGTTGTAGAACTGTGAAGCTAGGGAAAGAGATTGTGGTAACAAGACTGCCACAAGAAAATCAAAATCCGCTAATGGCTTGCAACCCATTAGG